GAAAGTACTGAATCACTTCAGAAATGCTCTAAAGCTCTTAGGAAAGCACAAAATCACTTCAGAAATAGTTGGGGTCACTTTGTAAAGTATTGAATCACGTCGAAAATGATCTGAATAACATCGGAAAGCACTGAATCACTTTATAAAAATCTAAATCACTTCTAAAAGAACTGAATCATCCCAAAAATATTCAGACTCAATTCGAAAAGTAGTGATTCACTTCAGAAAAGTTCTAAATCTCTTCAGTAAGTACTGAGTTACTATTGAAAAATGTTGGATCACTTCGGGATGTACTGACTTACATCAGAAGTGTTCTGAAAAACTTCGGAATGTACTGAATCACTTCAGAAATTATCGGAATCAATTTTAAATGAAACTAAATCACTTCAAAAACTTCCAGAATAACTTCGGGAAATATTGAATCACTTAATAAAAGTTCTAATTCACTTCTGAATTACGTTTGAAAAAATCAGAATCCCTTCGGAAAGTACTAAATCACTTTTGAAAGTTCTGTTTCACATCAGGAATATCCGGAAACACTTCGGAAAGAACTGAATCACTTCAAATAAATTCTAAATAACTTCTAAAATAACTAAATCACTTCAAAAATGTTCGGAATCACTTTGGGAAACATTGAATCACTTCATTAAAGTGCTAATTTACTTCTGAACAACGTTTGAAAAGATTGGAATCCCTTCGGAAAGTACTAAATCATTTCAAAAATGGTCGGAATCACTTCAGAAAGTTCTGATTCACATCAGAAATGCCCGGAAGCACTTCGGAAAGAACTGAATCACTTCAAAGAAATCCTAAATGACTTCTAAAAGAACTAAATCACTTCAGAAATGTTCGGAATTACTTTGGGAAACATTGAATCACTTAATAAAAGAGCATTACTTCAGAAACTGCTAAATCACGTTTGAAAAAAAAATTGAATCTCTTCGGGAAGTACTGAATCACATCAGAAATGGTCGGAATCACTTAGAAAAGTACTGATTAACTTCATAAGAGTTAGGAATCACATCGGAATGAACTGAATACATTCAGAAAGGTTCACTTTAGAAAGAACTGAGTCATGTACGGAATCACTTCGGAAAGTACTGAAGCACTTCAGCAATGTTCACAATCACTTCGGAAAGTACTGATTCACATCATAAATGTCTGGAAATTTTCTCGACTTCCCTGGGCACAGGGAATCAAGAAAATGCTATCTTCCGATGCTTACCGACGATAAAAATACTAGTTAACGGAATCATGATCAGTGTACAGTAAGATCATGGATTATCATTTGTGTTACACATCATGATCAGCAACAAAAACGATAATCTACTGATATGATAACAATCATTTTGTAATGTATCTCAAAATGTAGGAACTTGCTGTCTTCGGGAAAGTTGTTCTAGAGGTCAAATACCCTATAATGCGGATATTTTCAGAATCGGGATGACACATATATTTTGAAAATCCATGTAAGTCGCCATTTTGAAATCCGTCATCTCGGCTCTTTGATTTTAGATAGAACTGACAAATAAACTAGTCAACATGGCGGCCGACATCAATTTTTGACATTTACACGTCATCCCGGTTTCTAAAATGCCCACATTGTAGGGAAAAGTTGTTTCTTAAATCAATAGCCGCCATCTTGGATTCCCAAATAGCGGCAGATATTAATTTTCTACATCTGCATGCCATCCCTGTTCCGAAAATACCCACATTGCAGGGTAATCTTGGATTTCCAAAATGGTGGCGGACATCAATTTTCGACAGTTTTTCTTAAATCGATGGCCACCATCTTGGATTTCATAATGGCGGCAAACATCGATTTTCGATCTCTATACGTCATCCTCATCCCGAAAATTCACATATTATAGGGTATTTGATTAGCCTTGTCTTAAATGGGGAATTTTCAGTGACGACAGCTGATGATGATGATCTGAGATTATCGCTATTTCATATGATCATGATCTGTTACACAAATGATAATCGCATTATCGTTTCCAGAACTGTCCATTCTGATTTATGGATTTGTACTAATCATGAGTGTAACCAAAATGAGAATGCCATTATCTCTATCTGAATCTTTCATTTTGATTCCCTGCCTGGGCATAAAGTATCATTGTGCTTGCCACACAATATACAAATTCATGCATTGGTATTGGCATCGAAAGCTCTCAATTAATAACTGTGGAAGTGCATTTAGAACACTAAGTTGAGAGCACACAATAAGCTAATACGCGCTAAGCAATAAGCTTGAAATGCGAACAAGAAGAATAAGATGTCTGGAAACGCTTCGGAAAGTACTGAATCACTTCAAAGAAATTCTATATAACTTCAAAAAGAACTAAATCACTTCAAAAAGGTTCGGAATCACTTCGGGAAACATTGAATCACTTCATAAAAGAGCTAAATTACTTCAGAAAGTATTGAATTACGTTTGAAAAAAAATTGGAATCCTTTCGGAAGGTACTGAATCACTTCAGAAATGGTCGGAATCACTTCGTAAAGTACTGAATCCCTTTATAGAAATTCGATATCACTTCTAAAAAACTTAATCATCCCAGAAATTTTCGGAATCGATTCCAAAAGTACTGATTTACTTCAGAAAAGTTCTAGACCACTTAGGAAAGCACCGGTTTACATATTTTTATGTCATTTGGCATCCCAAAAAAAAGTCGAAAATCGAAATTGGAGATCTTTTGGTTCTCCACAAACTTAAACTTGGACGATTTTGCGCCACCCCTAAATCATGTCCGATTGGACCGAATTTTGCACTGGGTTTTTTTTCGATGTAATAAACTTTATGCATATCGTCAGTTTTGAAAATATAATATGTCTATTTCAGATTGAATATAAACATTGCGCATGTCACACCAAAGTGAATAAATAAGCGCGTTTTCACTTATTAAAAAGTGTGATAAAAGTCCAATCGTCTTGGTGTCTTCGGTGCACTTATTCCTTATGATACAAGCAATAAGTGGTTCCAAGACACCGAAATGATTTGACGGAAACTTGTACTTTTATCGCACTTTACTTTTTGACCGAAGTAACTCTTTACTCTTCCACAGTAAATCACACTTCCCATGATTCGCAATGTAGCGTCATTCTGTCTTTTCGAGAAGCTTTTTTTTTACGTTTTAATAATTTAAAATGGTTTGCGGAGATTCAAACAATCATCTTATGCATCATTTTGAATTAGTTACAAAAGATGTACTTACAGAAGAAGGATTATAATTCTCAAAAGAGGTAAGAGGGGCATAGTGAACAATGAGCATCCCACACTCAAGTCCCAAACATCTTATTGTTAGAAACAAATTAATTGGTAGTAGGTTGAATATAACCATTGCAATGCCTGATAACTTATTAATTTGTTTCGCACCATAAAAAAAATCCAAGGTTAAAGCACATGAAGTTCACTATTCCCTACCTGTTCAATATGCACCTTCTTCCCCATCGAAGGCAACGCTCATATTCTATATTTATAATGATCAAACTCATACAAAATCTTTAAATTTGAAAAAAATAATAGCGGCGCCGGTGGTGTAGTGGTAAGCGTGATTGCCTCTTACCCCAGCTGGCCTGGGTTCAATATAAATCGGCGCCGCCGGAATGTTCTGAGACATAACATCTCTGATCACGCCTTCCTTCGGAAGGGAAGTAAAGCCGTTGGTCCCCGGTTCAAGAGTTGATGGGTCGATAGGTAGGGTCCAGGTGTGGGAGCTGCCTCCTTGGCGTCGGTAGCATTGGTGCTCAGCACGGAAAACAAGATCGACGGAAAACAAAATCAAAGAAAAAAAAAAGAAAAAAAATATAAAAAAAAAATTTAAAGAAAATTCAACTACAACTACAACTTATTATATTTTTTGAATGAGTTAGAATTTTTAGAACTATTAAAATATATCATCTACAACTTCTGCTGAGACACAATTTCGTTACAATCATAGGTTTACGACTTACATTTTTGAAAATACGTATGTAACAATATATTCGCCCTTTTGAAAAAATAGTCTTGAGTCTAAATGGTCTCTTTACCTGTACAAAATACGTTATTTAATTCTCATATCGAAGAGATGTTAGACCTTTCATCTAATACGGAGAGGCTCATGCAAGATTTTGGCTTTTATCTGGAAGATAAATCTGTGGAACTAATCACATTATCGAGCAGTTGCGATTTCAAGAAAATTCAGCAACAAATTCATGATTGTTCAAGCTTAGCATAAGTAAGACCCAATTTTTTCGAGGTTCTAGAAGAAAAAAAAACAAAATTTGATGCCACGGCAAAGTTCTAATGGTAGGAATTTGAACTGCTCGATTGCTTATTTCCAAAAAAAAATAAGCTCGGAATTGAAGGAATTAAATTTGGTATGAAATTAATCTATCAATCGTGATCAATCATCAATTCACCCCCGTTTTATGGTATGCAATACAATACCCTTCATGGCACGGATGATTAAAACATGTTCGAAAATAAAACTGACAGCAAAATCACCTAAATCAACATCAGATCACTCGAATAAATTTATGTATCAATTCAAAACAGCATCATATATGAAATTCTAACCAGAACAACATTTATCAGCATAAACACCGGTGTCATATAATACTACTAGTGTATACACAAACGTAAATAAAATAGAATAACATTGCTACAAGCAATTCGCACGCAAATCTCCCGCTGAAATTAAACGCAAAATTGGTTTCCAGTGGAGCGGAACGGCGTTTGTGCTCCCGCTCGTTCTCTTTTTTTTTATCGGAAACATATTCTGCTCAACTTCATTCACAACCAGCTCAGTGCAGCCACGCGTTTTCCTTGATTTAGAATCTGCGGTTTGCGGCATTCGAACGTAGATTTTATATCCTCAGTGAAGTTTAGCGGTTTACGGGCACACAGCCAAAAATCGCTGTGGTAAAGTGGGAATTAAATTTTAATACTTTTCAACATTTCAAAAATAAGGTTCCTGTCCTATGCATAATCCCGTATGAATAAAAAAAAATCCTCTTACCTCGGAATAACGCGCAAACGATAATCAACAGTACACAGTTGAACGAGTTGATGCCATTCATCCTGGACTGAAGTTTTAGCTCACTCGACCACGATAGGTCCTTAGTTGCAAACGACTCGTAAATAACAGCCTGGATTTATCACAACTTATTTTAATGACGGTTCAAATAAAGCCCATGCTCAACGGGTTTTACGGTTTTGATCACATACAACTAATACCACGTGAACTTAGAATCAACACCACTCGACACCGACTGAAGAACACGTCCGTTTGGAACGAGCTTCCGACACCCGACTGAACTGTTCCGCCGAGCAGACCCAAGTGAGAAGCGTGTGATAATTTGAACAGGATATCGTCTAAATAAAGTAGGCATAGTAGTGAAGTGAAAGCGCGCTCTTACCCTTTGTATGCTCCTTCTTTGAGGGTGGATTTGAGTTGGCGTCGGGAGTACTGTGGGCCAGGCTGTAAATGTGCCAGCGCCATGTTCGCTGAAAGATTTTCCATTTTCATGACACACTTGATTCCTTCGGAAGATTAGATGAGCTCGTTTCATGGCGCGATTGGTTAGATATTCTTAGTAGCACGCTAGTCTCAAATCGGTTGTAGAAACTTCTATACTATATATTTCAGTCCTAAACAAGCTGCTGCAACTTTTCGTAATGGAGGTATGCTACTCGGAATATAAGCTGTGGAGTCACCTTTCTGGAGTCGGAAATTAGCATAAAGGGTGATACGGTCAAAATTTGGTCAAGGGAAAACGCGTGTAAATCGGTGAAATCGTTTATTTAAAAAATCAAATTAATTTTTTTTTCAAGTTCAATTAGTATAAAATTCAGGAAAAATATTCAGTTAGGCTTCCACTTTTCCAAATCCGAATTGCCGGGCCTTACGCTTGACCCCTGCCATCAGATTTTGTACAGCCACTTTGTCCACCTTCTTCGCCGCAGAAAGCCAGTTTGCCTTGAACTGCTGCTCGCCCTTAGCAGTTTTTTTGGTCTTCTTTAGGTTCCGCTTGACAATAGCCCAGTATTTCTCAATTGGGCGGAGCTCTGGCGTGTTGGGAGGGTTCTTGTCCTTGGGAACCACCTGCACGTTGTTGGCGGCGTACCACTCCATGGCCTTTTTACCGTAATGGCAAGATGCCAAATCCGGCCAAAACAGTACGGAACAACCGTGTTTCTTCAGGAAAGGCAGCAGACGTTTATTCAAACACTCTTTCACGTAAATTTCTTGGTTGACAGTCCCGGAAGCTATGAAAATGCTGCTTTTCAAGCCACAGGTACAGATGGCATGCCAAACCAGATATTTCTTTGCAAACTTTGACAGTTTCATGTGCTTGAAAACATCTGCTACCTTTCCCCTTCCTTTTGCCGTATAAAACTCCTGTCCCGGAAGCTGCTTGTAGTCGGCTTTGACGTAGGTTTCGTAGTCCATTACCACGCAGTCAAACTTCGTCAGCATCGTCGTGTACAGCCTCCGGGATCGCGCTTTGGCCGTCGTATTTTGTTTATCATCGCGATTTGGAGTCACTACCTTCTTGTAAGTCGATAGTCCGGCTCGTTTTTTGGCTCGATGCACGGTTGTAGACGATACACCCAGCTTATTTGCAGCATCTCGGAGAGAGAGGTTAGGGTTTCGCTTGAAACTACCGACAACTCTCTTTGTCGTCTCAGCGACTTCCGGTTTTCGATTTCCCCCCGATCCAGACTTCCTGGCTGTCGACAAACGTTCCCCAAACACTTTAATTACATTTGTAACGGTTGATTTGGCAACTTTTAGCGATTTTGCCAACTTTGCGTGCGAGTAGCTCGGATTTTCGCGATGCGCGAGCAAAATTTTGATACGCTGCTCTTCTTGCTTGGATGGCATTTTGACATCTGAAGAGTGAATTCCAAAATCAAAATAGGAGCAACATTCTACACACACACACCTTCAAAATGAGGGGTGTTCAGGTTTTTTAAATGCAAAATTGAAAGAAATACGTCAAGTTGATATTGACCAAATTTTGACCGTATCACCCTTTATATACAAATCCTGCGAAAAGCACGGTAGGTGGTGCCGTCCATCCACGATTGTACACAGTAAAAAATAATTAATAAAAACATACATATCATGTCAACGGGAAGCATTTAAAAATTACATCAATTTAATCTATAGTTTAATTTAGTTTTAAATTAACATCATTGCACATTTAAAGAGCATGGTAAAACGCACAAAATTACACTTTCATTCGATTAATTTTCCTTCGAAGTGTATTTTTGTAAAAACGTGTAAAAGAACACAGGGTGGCAAGTGATTTTCCATTTTAAAATTCCGGTTTTTACAAATTGTGTTTTTAGAAAATAATTGATTTTTTTTTTTGCTGCGTAATTTTTGGCATAAAAGTTTGCAATATTACAAGCCAACATATTAAGGTTTTTTTGAATGCACGTAGCTGAAACCAATAATTGTTGTTTGCTGCGGAGAAGCATGTAATGTCTGAAAATAACAGATCTCTAAACCTCTGAAATATTGAGTCTTATGTTCGTTGAAATTCGTTGTTGAGTTAGTGTGATATGAAAAAATTCTACAAGCAACAGCCTTAAAGCGTCTATCAATTTATTTGTAAATTCGTTTAAATTTTCCGCTTTTTTTTAATAATTTAATTTCTACCCATTTTGCGGAATCCCATTTGTCGGAATGCCCCAGATCGCGGAATACTCCATTTGACAGGATGCCCCATTTCGCGGAATGCTCCATTTCGCAGAATCCCGTTAAATGAATTTCATTTTACTAACTGACTACGCGTTTTGTGTTGAAGATTACGAGTACAGGAAAACTCTAAAAAAAACTATTGTAACTCATGTTCAAGGTGAAAACAATTTTACCTTTATTACATCTACCAAAACCTCATTCAGACTAGCATCTGTCTAGTTGGCCCACTTTGGAATTCAGGCTGCTTAATTATCCGGATAGGTATGGATAATCCGGATAGACCTATCCATTGGATAGAAATAAACGGAGTCTATCCCTATCCACATTTCTTTGCCTCTAGATAATAGGGCAAATGGCTCTATTGTTGGCCTATGGATCTAAGATTGGACCCATCCCTAAAATCTGCTATTTATCAATTTTACTAGTGGTACTAATGGATATTTTTGGTCGATATTGAAAATTTAGTCGATTGCTCAATTTGTTTATGTTGGAGGCGAACCAGCCCAAGGCTGAAAGCCTCCTTAATAAAGCTAAATAATAATAATAATAATTTGTTTATGGGCCCAAATTAGGGGCATTTAGGCCGACATTACATCCATTTCCCCTATAAGACATGTTGAAACTTTCATCTAAATCAGAGGGGCTCGTGCCAAGTCGTTTGCTTATTTGACAGAGATCCGCTCAATATGGATTTCAATAGTCTGTTTACTCACATCTTCTGCTTATTTGATGAAGACGCATGTCACTTTACTCCGATAGGTGTTTCAGTACAGGGCTACAAATGGTGAGTTGACAACCTAGCTCTGGTTCTCACAAGTTCCTACCTCACACCTCCCCGTGGTGTAGCCAGGACAATGTTGTCCTTCTGACAATAGCATAGTGAGGGGGTGCGACGCGAACACTGGCGCGGTAACCATAACTCGGCGATAGAGGAAATACTTAGTCACCCCGCAGGAGTGCCAACCGGCACATTAGGATGGACGCCAGTAAGATCTTTATTACGGTATACTGGACACGGCATGGAACTATGGACACGACACGGCACAATGGATTGGATACTAATTAATTAATTTAGCTTTATTTAGGAGGCTTTCAGCCTTAGGCTGGTTCGCCTCCAACTTGGATTGGATACTACGCTACAGGACTGACAGTCGTGCTATTCTGCTCCCTGAGTAAAGAAGAGTGACACCTTCTTGAAATGGCGAATGGGCTAATAGTGCGGCTGCCCCCGTCCCGGTAAAACCTTGGCAGGCCTCCGGATACGTTCAAAACTCGTCACCAATTGGTGATTGGTGAGTAGTAGGCTCAGATGTAACATTCCTGACTTACGCCGATCTGGCTCTGAACACGGCCCCCATGAAGGACCGTGTCAACCCTAGCATGGCCTCCCTGCTTGCATAGATATGGGATCACGATAGGAGACTACATACAACGAGTGGAGATAGCGGCCCGGAGGGAGGACCCATAAGAATGGAGAAAATCGGAGAAAAAAAAACAAAAATGACGAAAATGGAAAAACCAAAAAAAAAATGAAAGGCGACGGCAAGACGCCAGATAGTGAAAACGGAGGAGTGAACGTGTTCGCAAGGAGCGGGATATTGCAGAGATCACCAGTGTCGAACCTGGGGGCCACTGCGAGTTCCAACAGAAGCAGTAAGTCCCAAGGAGAACAACCAGGCGTTGGGCTAAGCCAGATATTCATACCGATATACAGCAGTAGCAAATCTCAAGAACTGCAGCTTGGCAGAACCAAAATGACGGAGGTCAGGAGGAAGATCGATGAACTCTATGTGTTCGTTAAGAACAAAAACAACGTACACAAAGAGATCAAGCAACTTGTGACTGGAATGGAATCAGGCATAGCAGTAGCAAATCGGGATTTCCAAGAGTAGAGAAAAAGAGCTGGAAATGCCGAAAAGGCTCTCGTGGAGGCCAAGGAGAACATAAGACTGGCTGAAGCACATGAGACGCCGAAGGGAACCACAAATCCACGTCCTGAAAAGAGAGATAGGGACACGCCAGGAGATGAGGAGGAGCCCAAAAAACGCAGGGATGACGAAAAAGGCATCATGGAGATGGGAGAAAATGGTGGGTGGCGTAAAGTCGAGAACCAGAAGGAGAGGAAGAAAAAACAGAAGGAAGATGACGTAAGGAAGAAGGAAGAGGAAGCGAGGAAGAAGGAAGACAGGAAGAACAAGGAGAAGCCTAGGCCTCGGAGGGAGAGAAGCAAGGGTTGTTGAGGCGAAGGACAAAACGTCCTACGCAGCACTCCTCCGGAAAGTGGGAGAGGATCCGGAGTTGAAACAACTAGGCGAGAACGTGGTGAAAACCAGGCGAACCCAGAAAGGCGAGATGCTATTTGAGCTGAAAAGGGATCCTACGGTTAAGAGCGCAGCTTTTAAGGAGCTTGTCGATAAATCTCTTGGCGCGACGGCGAACGTAAGAGCCTTATCCCAGGAGTCAGTGGTTGAGTGCAGGGATCTGGACGAGATCACAACGGAAGACGAGTTGAAAAGTGCACTGAAGGTACAATGCAACCTGGGAGACGTACAAATGGCAATTCGGTTGAGGAAGGCGTATGGTGGCACGCAGACGGCGTCGATACGAC